CCAGTGCCTCCAGCTCCAAGGTCTCCAGCTGTAGTGCCTCCAGCTCCAGGGTCTCCAGCTCCAGCGCCTCCAACACCACCAGCTCCGGCAGTTCCAGTACCTCTAGTACGAGCACCTCTAGGATCAGCAGCTCCAGCACATCCGGTACCTCCAGCTCCAGCAGTAACTCCAGCACCTCCAGGACTAGTAGCTCTAGCACCTCCAGCTCCAGCAGTAACTCCAGCACCTCCAGGACTAGTAGCTCTAGCACCTCCAGCTCCAGTGCCTCTAGCAGCAGAGCCTCCCGCCCCTGCAGCGCCACTCCTAAGTGTGCGCTGAGCAAACCACTCGAGCAGCTGCTGCGGTGAGAGAGGCTCCCGCCGGTGAGACAGTCGTGGCAAGGCACCCGCAGGACCTCCGCCAGACTCCGCACCCCTAGGCTCAGCACCCCCAGACTCCGCACCCTCAGACTCAGCACCCCCAGGCTCCGCACCCTCACGCTCAGCACCCCCAGGCTCCGCACCCTTAGGCTCAGCACCCCCAGACTCCGCACCCTCAGTCTCAGCACCCCCAGGCTCCGCACCCTCAGGTTCAGCACCCCCGAGCTCCGCACTCGCAGGCTCAGCACCCCCAGGCTCCGCACTCGCAGGCTCAGCACCCCCAGACGCAGCACCCCTAGCAGCACCTGAGTCTACAGTGACCTCGTCAGGCTCAGCCAGGGGGAGTGGGTCTAGCTGAGACACACCTGAGGGAGCAAGACCCTGAGGGGGGAGGGGGTCTACCGGATGGGGACCTGGAGCGAGGAAGAGCGGCGGGAGGGGGAGAGGGGCAGTGCGGTATGGGAAGAGATGGTAAAATGGAACCGAATCGTCCAACGTGACGTCCTGCGAGGGGAGGACACGGCGCGAGGTGGGGTGGTAAAACTGCCAGTCAGGCGTGTCAGGGGGAAAGCCAAGGAAGACGCAGGGAATGGTGCGAGAGGAGAGCTTGTCCGCGGAAGTATCGCGGACAAAGGCACGAGAGCCCCAGACCCGGAACACCGACGCATCGCCAACCTTCCCTGTCCAACGGAGTGTAGGCAAGGTCTCCGGCAAGGAGACACAGGGCCAGAGGCTGAGGTGATGCGCAGCGTGCCGGACCGCAAACGGCCATAGAAAATGGGGAGCAGCCGCATGGATCATGGAGGTACGAGCGACCTCCATGACTAAGCCAATGCGGCGCTCATCAATCCCATTTTTCCGCGGGGAGGCCGGAAGCGTGAACGTCTGGAGGATGCCCTCCCCACGACAAAATTCCCGCAAGAGTTCGGAGGAGAACTCACCACCTCTGTCAGAGTGCAGACGCAGGATAGGAAGGTCCTCGCGGAACCGCTCGCAGAGCTGGATACGGACTGCGCGGATCCAAGGGATCAAGACATCAGGGACCTCACCCTTGCTGCGCAAGGGGAAGACCGTGGTGTAACGCGTGTAGTCGTCAACAACCAGCGGAAAGTAGCGCTCGCGGCCCTGTCCACTGACGCGGGCTGGGCCCCATACGTCCATGTGGAGAGTCTGCAGGGAGCAGTTGTCGGGAGAAACGAGGAGGAGTGAGGAGTTGCGCTCTGCCGCCCCTCGACGCAAGGAAGGCATGGCGGGGCAGGCGAGGGCGGGAGGGGAGGCAGAGACTTGGGAAGACCAGAAACAAGGAGGTGGGAGTGCATGCCGCGAAGGCATGGCAGGGAGGGGTGACCAAGGCGGTGGTTCTAAAGGAGAGATTGGTGCGACAGGAGGCGACACGAGCAAGGGGCTGCTACCGGACCTAACGCGGACACCTGACCAGACGCAGCTACCTGAGAAGGCTCAGTAGTCAGTGTGTACAGACTCGACCCAGGCCGACGGGTGAATGTGGCCAGGTGACGGCCCGTCCGTGTACACGTGCAGATCGACACACGCTGACCCCCAGGAGTGGTGGTAGTGACCATCGCATCCTGGAGGGCATCGGTACTCTCCAAGTTCGTAGAGAACGAGGGGAGGTGAAGACCTGAGAGGGAGCCAAACGGAACCGCCAGACATGGGAGAACAGTGGAGGAACGTGCAAGAACTGGGCCCCCTGAGGGGTCAGCCAGTCTGACTGGAATAGGTGCAGGGAGTGGAGTGAGTGTGGTACTGTCGCGAAAGAAACAGCGGGAAGCACCTGATTCAAGCGTGAAGGTGTGCACGGCCTCTGCAGGCGCAGTACCAGGGAGAGCAGACTCACTAGCACCTATAGCAGCAGCCTCTATACCTGGGTCGGGCGGCATGGGGCGAACACTACCCCCAGAGGCCCCACGCTGAGCAAACCACTCACGAAGCTGCTGGGGCGTAGGGGTCTCGCTCGGACGCTGCTGCTGCTGCCTCTGGCCACCGCCAGGACCTCCCCTCTGGACACCTCCACCCCGACCGCCACCACTGCCGCCACCACCGCCACCACCACTCCCACCGCTGCCACCACCGCCGCCACCGAAGCCCCCACTCCCACCACCACTCCCACCGCCACCTCCGCCACCTCCACCGCCTCCACCGCCTCCACCACCACCACCCCCGCTGCCACCTCCACCACTCTTGCATCCCTTGCCCTTGCCGCTGCGGCGCTTCCCACTAGGAGCAGAAGCAGCCCTGACGTCCTTAGTACCAAGGATGTCAACAGCACCAGCAGAAGCGTAGGAAGGGGCAAGGAGGGAGGGGGAACACCCGTCAATTAGGGTGTGCGAGGAGTGCCACGAGCAGCACCTACAGCGACTACGCTAGTCTCAGCTACAAGGAGGTGCTTCTCGACCAGGTCGACGAGTATGTGCGTTACTTACCCATATGGTTGGTACCAAGGGTAAGTGCGTTACTTTCCGATATGGTTGGTACCAAGAGTAAGTGCGTTACTTACCCATATGGTTGGTACCAGGAATAAGAGCGTTACTTACGCACAGGGAGGCGGGTGACTATGAAGTAGAGAGTGATGTACATCGGGGGCGGGTTCTTGTCTAGGAACTTGGCATTGAGGGCAGCGCGGTAGCAGTGTCGCTAGTGCGAAGGTGGGTGATGAGGTCGTCTATTGTGGCAAAGGCGGACAGCTCGGGAAAAATGTAGGGCAGTATAAGGCGGCCAAGAGGAGCAGTGGCAGGGGAGGAGTAACGAGTGACTACATCGTCGTACAGGGCTTCAGCAGTCTTGTGCTGGCCAAAGTGAGCGCGTTTGGCTAACGGTAAGTGGTTGCGAACGGCTAAGCGAGCAGCAGCGTCACGTGTAAGCCACTGTGAGCGAGTCGCACTGTCAGCTGTTGCGGGAGGGGCGAGAGAGGCTCCAGACGTGAGGTCAAACAACGAAACGCCGTCTCTAGAATCGATCAGTAGGTACAGCAGTAAGTCATCGAGCCACGTATTGAACTGGATCGGACGGCCCTCAGGATCGAATGTGAGAACGCTGAGAGTAGCCACAGTGAGCAGAGCAGGGTGGCGCGCGACAAGCAGGGCAGCACGCAAGCAAGGACAACGCGACGGGCAGGGCGGCGCGCAAGCGCTAGGGAAGCGCACAGGGCAGGGCGGGGCGGCAAACAGCTAGGGCAGGGCGGCGCAACTGGCAGGGCAGGGCGGCGGCTAGTAGGGCGGCGCGCAGGCAGGGCAGGGCAGGGCGACGACCAGCAGGGCGGCACGCAGGCAGGGCAGGGCGGGGCGGCTGCCAGCAGGGCGGCACGCGGACAGGGCAGAGCGGCGCGCGGGGAGGAAATGGCGGCACGCGGCTAGCAGGGTGGCGCGCGGGCAGGCTGCAGGGCGGCGCGCGGGCAGGAACGGCGGCGCGCCGCGAGTAGGGCGGCGCGCGGGCAGGAAAGGGGCGGCACTCGGCCAGCAGTGCGGCGTGCGGGCTGCAAAGGGCGGCGCGCGGGCTGCATAGGGCGGCGCGGCGGCCAGCAGGGCGGTGCGCGAGCAGGGCAGGGTGGCGCGGCAGCCAGCAGGGCAGGGCAGCGCGACGGTGGGGCAGCGCAACGGGCATGGTAGGGCGCTACGAACAGGGTAACGCGCTACGGGCAGGGAACTATTCGGGGCCCTAAAAAAAATATAAATTTTAAACACATTGATGTTTTTCAAAATTGTGTATTGTGAAAGCGAAGCTGCCTGTACCGAATATTTGGCAGCGTCGAAGCGCGCTATACCCAGTTGCAATGAGAACGATGCCAAATTATAAGGACAAGAAAGCAAGCTTTCTCAATACAGTCCTGGAACAGTACCTGCTCTGAAACCATGTCAGAATACTGAACGAGAATGAATGCATTGAGCAGAAAGTTGGTACAAGTACTAACTCTAATTGGGTTGTACCCCTTGTGGGCTACCCCACAACAGCCTACACAATATAAGCATCATAACATTTTGACACTTGGTGCACGCGAGGACTTGGCCCAAGCTATTGACACATCTGAGACTTCGCCTTGATTGCGTCAACAAATAGGCATGCAATGCAATGGTAACAAACTAACAATCAACCCAATCAGACAGCTGTAGCATACGCTAGCTACACCAAAGCTTTAAGGATGATAAGCCTTGCACTATTACAGGGTACAGATGGCTCAACTACAACCCATGCAAAACAAACAGAACTGGTGGGTCCCTCCGCTGCAATGTGAGACAAGGCTCTTATTCCCCACTCCTGGGGCACGCAATGCATCTGTGCAGGGAGGGCAGGCTACTCTGCTCTGAGTCTGGTGAAAACAGGGAAGGTCCGAGATGGGCAGTGAAGCTGAGCGGCTCACAGGGAGGCTGTGCTGCTGTGAGTGGAGGCATTGTGATGAAGGCCAGTTGAACGGCATGTGGATGCAATTAATGCGAGCAGGCACGGCAGGCTACTCTGCTGTGAGCCTGGCCAAGGGAACAGGCGGGAAGGTCATAAACGGCAGTGAAGCTGGGTTGGCACATACGGAGGCTGGGTTGCTGTGAGCGGTGGCATTGCAGTGAAGGCTTGTTGCATATTGTATTGATGAAGAGGAGGGAGTGTCCAATGGATGCGTGCAGGCAGGGCAGGCTACTCTGCTGTGAGCCTGGCGAAGGCAGGAAGGTCAGAGATGGCAGTGAAGCTGGGCTGAGACATATGGCGCTCCAGCTCTGCTCTTGTGGCTTGCATGACCACCTGAAGGGAAGGAGGGGGCAATGTGAGCAAAGGGGCGGAATGGGTACGAGAACAGAAGCTGGGCTGACACATATAGCACTCCAGCTCTGCTCTGGTGGCTTGCATGACCACCTGACAGAGGGGGAGAGGATGGTGAGCAAGCAGGACGGATTGGATGGGGAGGGGAGAGAGTGAGATTAGAAGCTGGGATGGCACATGCGGTGCTCCAGCTCTGCTCGCGTGGCTTGCATGACCACCTGGGGGGGGAGGAGAGTGGGAAAGGACAGGGGAGGGGATGGAAACAATGGTTCAGAGACTCTCATTAAAAGTTGGCACGTATCCCGAGTTGACCCGCATTGACCTGCATGCCTCACATTGACCTGCATGCCTCACATTGACCTGCATGCCTCACATTGACCTGCATGCCTCACATTGACCTGCATGCCTCACATTGACCTGCATGCCTCACATTGACCTGCATGCCTCACAATGACACAAGGCTAGTGCATGGTCAGGTGGATGTGCATGTGATTGGCTCACATTGACTTCACCCTAACTCCAAATGAATTTCATTGACTCACATTGAATTCCATGTACGACGCCTTGAGCTCCAGCCAGTTAGCATCCAGCATCTCAAACGTGACACAGTACAGATCCTCAAACGCTGTTGGGTGCTCTGGTAGCATCTTCAGAAAGGCCCGTCCAGCCACTGTTGCGGGGATGTCTGGAGAAACAATGAGAAAGGAGAGAATGTACAAGGGAAAGGGAAACAGAGATTGCAAGGAGAACGACACATTCAGCATCTGACGCCGACAGGAGCTCCGATAAACTGTTCAGAAAGGCCTGTCCGGCCACTGTTGCAGGGATATCTGAAAAGAGATTGGAAGGAGGGGCACATACAAGGGGAAGGGGAACAAAGATGGGAATGGCCCATCCAGCACATCAAACGTCACACAGAGGAGATTCACAAATGTGAAGGATGTGAGGGATTGGACTGGAGGATGGGAGGGGTGTGAGGGAGGGATGAGATTGCCTGTCTTCTTGGACAGGCAGGGACGACTGGCATTCTTTCCAGACCCGGACGCTCACCCTTGCGCAAGTCGAGGATGCTTATAAGGAGTACGGTGATGTTCACCCCTGCTGCTCCAAAGGGGTACTCCCACTCAACCCGGCGACCCTCCTGCTTGTACATGATGCGCTGAAACGACCTCTGCATTCAGGCACAGAAAGGGCAAGCAGAAAACATGTGTAGAGGAATAAAATTTCTCAAGATATTTCAGAATCCTCCTGCCTGTGCATGATGCGCTGGAACCACCTCGGCAGCCAGATACAGAAAGAATAAGGAAAAAATACGTTTGCTTGAGAATTCATGCTTCCTTAACTCCAAAACATCTTCTCACCCTACCCCTCCCTTCCCCCCCTCCCTTCCCCCCCTCCCTTCCCCCGCTCCCTTTCCCCGCTCCCTTTCCCCCCCTCCCTCTCCCCGCTCCCTTCCCCTCCTCCCTCCCCAAACGTACTGGGTACGTGCGAGCATAGTACACCAAATTCTCCAGCGCGAAAAATCCCCCGCCCCTGAAATCCGAGGCTGGGTTCTTCCCCTGCCACCCCATCTCCTTCCACCCCGCCACCTCCACCTCCTCAGTCAACACCCGCCCCGGATACGCCTGCTCCCACAGCTCTACTAGCGCCAATCTATGTTCCTCCTTGTCGTTTTCAAAGGGCGGCTGTATCCTCGTTTGTAGCTGCTTCAGGTACCGCTCCTGGGGCTCGGAGAGGGTGATGGGGGGGAGGGCGGGGACTCCCCCGCGCAACTGCGGGGGGCCTCCGCGGGAGGGTGCGCGCGCGTGCGGGGGGAGCAGCAGCGTGGAGGCAAAAGAGCCGCCCAGAGCAAGAACTTTGGTGCGCGCACCCGCCATGAGCTGGCCTGGTGGCAGGGGAGGGGGGAGAGATGGGGGAAGAGTAGTGGGGTAAGGGAGTGAGTCAGGGGAAGAAGGGGGATAGAACGATCAATCTTATCTTGGGCACAACCTCCTTAGAAGTAAACAACATTTGCTTGTATCATTTCAAAACGCTTTGAAGCAGTAGAAAAGGGAAAAAGAGAATGATAATACTAGACCCACCTAGCCATGAGGCCCATTGAAAGACGAATGATCCGAGAAGGTGCTGCCACACTCTCGAGCCGACTTCCCCTGGCCTTGGAGATCCTGGCGACTGCACGGAATAATGAAAATGTCCGTGAGAGGAACGGATTTTATAATATATTTCTGTCAAAAGGACGAATCAACCAGAAAGTCCTTCCAAAAGAACGGAGGGAATGGAAGGACGTCCGTCACGACTAAAGGAATCACGAGCCGGACAGAAAGGCTGAGAACACGCGGGTGTAATCGCTAGCTGAGGCGGCCTAACGACGATGTAATGTAAGATGTTCATTTGTGGAGGAAGGTACAAAGGAGGTATAGACGACGGCTATTAGACGAAGTCAAGAAAATGTTATAAAGTCCAAAATGATGATTATGCCGTATCCCATCTGCACAAAAACATGATAACGTCAGCATGAATGTTAATGGTCCTCACTGGTTATTTCCAATTTCACGTTCATGGCTCTATAAAGCATCAACGACTGACCCACCTTCGCGTCGACATTTGGGCTGGCGACACCATTCGCGGGATTCGCACAGGTCGTAGACGTCGCAGGCGGATCGCGTCGGTCGTCATCGTCGTCGTGTCGGTCGTCGCATGACAGTAGCGGTTCTTGAAGGGTGGATCGCACTGCGTTGCCTTCGTTGCTGACTCGACGTCTAATCACGGCTGATTGAGGCATGACCGATACAATCTACAACCAAATTTAGATTCTAACGTACAGAGGGATTCGATCTATGATGGATTACCCTACCCTATTATTGTGAGCTGGCTTCCGTAACAGTATTATATCTGTCCTACCTGATGAAAGGCAGAATCGAGGCCGAAAATACGAGCAATCAGGAGGAGGTGAAGCGGACTCACTTTCGAGGAAGCCTACCACAACACAGCAGATATTAAGGACACGAACAGCGAGCCTGAGACGGCGACGTCGACTGACAAAAGAGCAAATTTACCATTGGGAGACTTCAGTGACACATCAACCGAACGCTAGAGGGGTCTGAAGTGAATGAACAAGGACAATGGAGCCACGCTAGCTCATCATAAGGCCAAAATAACGAGCATTGAACACAGCTAATGGCTGCACAGCAGACACAACCAGCCTGCTGATAATAAGCATTCAGGCTAGCCTAGAGCTCATAACGAGCATTCAGTCATTTCCCCAGAATATATTGACAATATACTGCTGCCTGCCTGCCTGACTCTCTGACAGACTGGAACTGGAACAGAGATAACTCCGTCCGACAGCACCCTTTGGAGTGGTCAGTGGTCGTCACTGCTAACTGAGAACGTTGATTCCGTCCGTGCCTTATCCGCGTTTCCTCCGTCCAACACATCCATCCATCCCTCTGCTTCCGTTTACTGGCGGTTGGGATGGAAACGGGAAACTGCGGCTCCGTCTGGGAGTGTCAGCCGACAGTGGGGTGGGGGAAGGCCCAATCAGAGAAGAGCGCGCGGGCGGGCACGCAACCTCGCCTTGTGCTCCAGCTCCCAAGAGTCGGTACACTCCAGGTTTAGCACAATATTAATGTATGATAGCACAACTCACCTGTTTGAAGGTAGTATTATTGGAACCAATTCATGGTACTTCAATTATATCAAGCATTGTCAGCGTTACATGAAAAGGATGGATACCACAGGCTGGAATAGACTACCCCTTGATAGATTTTGTTCTCATCCATCCCTTCGCACGCAGTGAAGGAGACTTGTGCGGGACCAGGGACTCCATCAGCTTCCTAACTCTATGGTGCATCATACCTTTACCCCCCTCTTTTGAAAGCACGTAAAGTCCCGCTTTCTCAGGGCAGACCGAAGCATCTGCCGAGCCACCCGCCCAAAACTTTCCTCCGCTTCCCGAGCCAAAGCCGACAGGGCTGGCTGCACCTCAGCCGCCAGGTCCGGCCGAAGTTCCGCCTGTCCCGAAGCACAGCGCAGAGCCAGCAGCACCACAACAGACGCCATTTCCACAGGCCATTCCCCCGCCATCACGTCCAGTCGGCTCAAAAACACGTCTACCGCTTCAGCCAGGTTGAACCCCCAGGAAACACCACCCCCAGACACCCCTCCCTCGGTCGCCCCTCCTGCTGCTTCCCCAGCTGATTCCGCCCTGTGCCCATCCATCCCACCCCCACCACCTGCCCCTGAACCTCCTGCTGCAGTCGAGTGCGTGTGCATGAGGGAGTGGATGAGTGAGGGGCGGGTGATGCCGGTTACCAGCTGTAACACCACAATGCCGTACGCATGCACATCGTCACTTAGTACGCCCGTGCTGCTGCTGCCATGCTGGCACGGACCCTCCACTCCCACTGCTGTGCTGCTGCTGGGGTTAGAACTAGAAGCAGAGGCAGAAGAACTATTCCCTGGACTGCCAGAGAAGGGAGATGAGGAGAAGGAGAGGCCAGCACCGCTGAGTTTACACGCGGAGTTGCGGTCTAGAAGCACGTTCTGTAGAGTCACGGCGCCGTGCAGCACAGGCGGCGAGTGCTGGTGCATGAAGAGCAGCGCCCCTGCCAGCTCAGACGCCAGTCGGAGCCGGTCCACCCAGGACAGCCATATTGCCTCTAGCTCCTCCTCCTCCTCCTCCCCGAAGGTAATGCCCCGTTCTCCGCTAGGAGAAGCAGCAGCACCGTCTCCTGCACTGCTGCTGCTGTTACCAGCACCCTCCTCTGCTGCAGTAGCAGCAGCACCACCACCACCATCACCAGCGGCAGCAGCAGCAGCGGTGGCAGCAGCAATAAGGGAGTGGATGCGGGAGAGGCGGGAGGAGAGGCTGCCCCCAGGAGCGAACTCATAGACCAGACAGGGGTACTCGGGGCAGTGACCCATCAGCAGCAGCAGGTGCGGGTGCCTGAGACGCCTTAGCACGTCCACTGCTGACTGCACTGCTGCTTGTACTCTCTCTCGGGACACTTGACCTCCCCCCTCTGTGGACGGATCAAGGAGACCGGAGGAACCAAAGGAGCCAAACGCACCCGATGAGGCAACTGCAGCACCATCTGCCTCCACCACCCGCTCCTCCTGCTTTCCCCCTCCCTGAGCACCATCTACTGCATTCTTCTCAGCCTTCTCATTCTTGTCTGTCCTTCCAGACGTTTCCTCATGCACAGTCAGCAGTTTGATCGCCACCTGGCATCCGAATATCTCCCCCCGGTAGCTCGGCCCGAGCCTGCCTCGGCCAATCAGCTGCGAGGGCGAGAACCCCCCCGTGGCCCGGAGAATCTGGTCCGGCGGGAAGCGGTGGCAGTCCACCGAGTCTACCCGGCTGCTTTGGAATCCGGCTTGGGAGGAGGACGAGAACGAGGAGGAAGGAAGCGGGATAGGGAACGCTTGCTGCTCGTTGCTCCCCATTCCGGGATTACTGCTGCTGCTGCTGTTGGCAGGGTTGGCAGCACCACACGACCCACCATCTCTTGACCCTTCTCTTGCTGCCACTGCTGCTGCGTTCCCTGCTGCCGCTGCAACCTCTGCTGCAACTGCCTCGACCCCGCCCCCCATCTCCCCCTCACTCCCCATGCTCCTCCTACCAGACACCCACAGCTTCTTCCCCACCACCACAGGCTGCTGCGGAACAGGTGGGGATTCCCATTCCTCTCCCTTTACGCCTTTTTCAGAGCGATTTCCCCCCTTCAAGTTCAAGCCCCCTCTTACGCCCTCTCTTTCTCCCTTGCTTCCTCCCTCCCTTGTGACCTTTCTCCCTCCCCCTATTGCTTGCTCGTGCGATACAGCCCTTGCAACCTTCATCCCGCCCGTCCCTCCTCTACCCCCCACCGGGCCTGTGAGTGGGGTTACGTTCGGCGACGGCGAGCCAACCGAAGCTGCTCCCGAACCTGCTGCCGAACCTGCTGCCGAGGCTGAGGTTGGGCCGACACGAGGAACAATGAGCAGGCTTGTATCAATCCCTTCAAACTCGTTTGCCTTCATGTGGAAATCCTCGCTCCCCTGATGCGAATGCCACCCGGTCCGCCCACCTGAAAACCCACCTGAAAAACCACCCGAACGTCCACCTGAGCCCTTGGCAGCTTGCATATCAGAGTGAATAGCAGACAACCCAGCTGCCACACTCTCTAACCCCTTCCACAGAGGAGACTTATCCCCATGCGATCCCTCCCCATGTGCCTTCTCCCCCTGCCCCGTCCCCTTGCCATACCCCCCCTGTCCGCCCTGTCCCCCCTTGCTGCTGCTGCTGCTGGTGCTGGCAGTACCACTGACAGAGGAGGAGGAGGGGAAGAAGCCTCGGCCCCCTGGTGGGGTGGGGAGGGGGGGTGCCCTGGGGAGTGATAGAGGCAGAAGAGGAGGAGCCGGAGTGCCTGCGGGTGTGGTGGGCTGTCCCCTGCTGCCGCTGCTCATCCTGCTTCTCCTGTTGATCCTGCTGCTGTTGCCCCTGCTGCAGACCCTGCTTCTGCTGTCCCTGTTCCTGCCTCTGCTGCCCCAGCTGCTGCTGCCCGCCTGCCAGAGAAGGGTGCACGGGGGAAGGCTTGTGCTGCTCGACCAGAATCTTCTGCAGGCCGGTGAACTGCTGCCGCATCTGCTGCTGCAGCCGCATCATGCGCTGCCGATCCGCCTCTGACACCGGCCCACTGTTCGACCCTGCGCCTGCCCCTGCCGCTCCTGCTGCCGCTGCAGCTGCTGCTGCTTTGTCCAGAGCCGCACACCCTTCGTCTCCCATGCCCCCTCCTCTCCTCCCCACCCCTCCCCCTCCTCCTCCTGCTGCTCCTGCTCCTGCTCCTGGTCCCCCTCGTCCTCCTGGGGTTAACGCCCCTGGGCTTGTTCCAGGGAGAGAAAAGCCTCTGGGAGAGGCCAGAGGGACGAGTGTGTTTGGGTTGTCTTGGCTAGCTGCGCGTCCAAACCTCACGTTACTGTTCATTGTGTTGCTGTTCCCAGCATACGGCCCAAAAGTACCAGAGGATTCACCAGGGGTTCGCCCGTCCCTGCTGGAGGCGCTAAGGCAGCCAGGGCTGGGGGTGGGAGCGCGGGACGGGTGGGGGGAGGTGCTATCTGGGACGATGATTCGCAGTGGACGGAATTTTCTCTGCCCGACGGGCAGGTTTTACTGCTGCTCGGGCAGGTGCTGCGACTGCTGCTGCGACTGTTGCTGTGACTGCTGCTGCTGTTGCTGTTGTTTTTGCTGCTGAAGCAGCTGAAGCTGCTTCAGCACCTGCTGCTGATGCTGCTCGTCATGCACTGTCGACGGTGTTGGCAGCAGCACCGCTGGCACCCCAGCACCAGCAGCAACACCCCCCCCACCACCACCACGACCAGCACCAACACCACCAGCAGCACCAGCAGCACCAGCACAAAAGCCAACGCTAGCAGCTGCTGCGACCCCACCAGGGCTTCCCAAGGCGGCCGCAGCACTCCCGGCACGCACACGACCCGCCACCTCAGCTCTATCCCACAGAGACACGATCCGCTGCTGTCCGATGGCCACCCGCTGCAGCTCTGCCTCCCAGTCCGCTATTGTGAAGGAGGACTTGGGCCGACACACCGCATCGTACCCATCATCATCATCGTTGTCGTCGTCCTCATCATCCTCGCCCTCGTTATAGTCGTCCTCATTATAGTCGTTGTCGTTGTCACTTTCAGCGTCGTTTTCTCCGCCGTCATTGTCGTAACAGTGTTCATCAGCAGGATAGCCAGCAGCATCAGCAGCAGCAGCAGCAGCAGCGGTGGCGGCGGCGGCGGTGGCAGCAGGAGCATGAGCCGCAGAGGAGGAGGAAGAGCCAGAGGAGCCAGCTTTACGTGAAGCAGGAGTGACAGAAGAAGACGAGGAATGCGAGTCGGGGAAGCGAGGCGATGCCGATGCGGCAGGGGCGGCAGGATTTGGACTGAAGGGGCTGCCTTTGCGTGGTTTGGACTTGCGTGAGCGTTTGGAGGAGGAGGAAGAGCCTGGTTGGCCCACCACTAGCATGCAGCCAGGGGGGAGGCGGCGGAGCAAGGGGTGTGTGGATTGAGTGAGAAGGCGGAAGACAAACCTGGGGGGGGGAGAAGGGGGAGGAGGGGTGGGAGAGGAGGAGAAATGGAAGAGAGAAGGGGGAGGAAAGTTAGTTTGGAGGGGGGGGAGTCTGATACAGATTGCCGTGCCACGAGCCTGGTTGCCTTGCTGCATTCAGGGGTAGACAAGGCACAACAAAGCAACCAGCTTAGCTCGTCGTCCCCTTCCACCCACCCATCCACTTCCCTTGCTGCTTCCACCCACCTCTTGTTTCCCACGTAGAGCCGTTCTGCTGCAGTGGCGCGCACAGCCTGGCAGAGAGCCTTCACGAGACACTCGTGCACTCACACACCCACCTCTTGATCCCCAAAAACAATCTTTCTGCTACAGTGGCGCGCACGGCCTGGCACAGAGCCTCGTCCCTCCGCTGGCCCCACTCCACGTGCACCCGCACAGGCAACCCCTTTATCCCCACACACACACACGCACCCACCTCTTGTTCCCAACACACGCACCCGCTTGATCCCCACCCACCCACCTCTTGTTCCCCACGTATAGGCGCTCTGCTGCAGTGGCCCTCACGGCCTGGCAGAGCGCCTCGTCCCGCCGCTGCCCCCACTCCACGTGCACGCGCGCAGCCACGCGCGCCTGTCCGCATTGCGCCAGCAGCGGCTGCAGCAGCGCTTGCAGTACAGGGGACACCCCCTCGCTGCTGCCCCCACCGCTCTTCTGCTGGAGGGCCGCGCCCACTGAGATAGAGGGGGAAAGGGCGGGAGGGAAGCAGGGATAAAGAGAGGGTGTTTCTTTACTGCCGCTGCTTCCACTCCACGTGCAAGCGCACAGGCACTCGCGCCTGCCCGCATTGTTCAAGGAGAGGCGCAGCAGCGCCTGTAGCACGGGGGACAACTCTCCCTCGCTGCTGCGTTTCTGCTGGAGGGCCGCTCCCACTGGGAGAGAGGAGGGGAGGGCAGGGGGGAATTAGAGGGGAGGGAACACAGGGCTCCAGTAGCGGCTGCAGCGGCGCCTGCAGCACGGGGGGCAAAACCTCGCTGCTGCGTTTCTGCTGGAGGGCCGCGCCCACTGGGACCAGGGGTGACACGCACGGGGAAGGGGGGGGGGAGAGGCAGGGGGGAGCAGAGAAGAAAAGAGGTGTCTCAGTAAGGCCTTGTCACGCCAGTGCTGCTGCCCCCTCGTTCGGCCTCCGCTGCTGCCCCCATTCCACGTGCACGCGCACAGGCACCCGCGCCTACCCACACTGCTCCAACAGCGGCTGTAGCACGAGATAGGAAATGCAGGAGAACGCGGAGGCAGTGAATATATATAAATATCACAAGACCTCGCCTAAGGCCCACCAACCACACCCTGTGTTACCACAGATACCTATACACAGGAGGGTTTAGGGCAATACTACTCGCAAACGCTGAGCTCGTTATACGCCACGAAGCACAGCACAATCTCGTCCAGCCCTAAACTCCATTCCAGCCCGCCCTATTGTAACGAGTTTTGAGACGTCACAAACATCTCTACACACGAGGGATTAGGGCAGCAATACTTACAAATGCCGAGCCCTTCTCCCGCCACGAAGCACAGCACTATCTCAATCCCAGGACTCGACTCCAACCCCGCTTTGCATCTTCCTCCCCCTGCTCCTCTTCCTTCTTGACTCGGCTCCACCTCTCCTCCTCCTCCTCCTCCTCCTCCTCCTCTCTCTTCCCCGTCCGTGTCTCTATCACCAGAAACCCCCTCTCGTCCTTTCTCCGCAGCTTCCTTCTCCAGCTGCTTCTGCCGGTCGTGTAACGCTAACGTTAACAGAGCACCGTTAAGTTCCATGTTCTTGACGGAGTTCGCTTCCACCATCCAGAGCCTCGGCGGAGAGAGTCCGGTTCGGTCGGTAGCGGATGACGCCATGTTTCCGTGATAAACAACTAGCCTTTGAAACACCCTAGACCAGCCCTTGAAACGCGTTTCTTTCAAGGCGCCAAGCCTTCAACACAAGTCTCAACAGCGCGAGAGACAACAGACGCGGTGTTGCTCGAGTTTGGTTCCACTACCTTATTACGTGCTCTTGTCCTAACGGAGTCTTGCTGGGTTAAACGTCGCGAAGACTATCAAAAAGCCCTAAGCTGCTCGCCGCCAGCGAGTAAGATTGTTAGACTGGGAGCTGGACGCTGGTCGGCATCGGTGAAGTGAGGAACGTTGAATTGCAGTCGAGGTCAGACTACCCTAAGCTGCTCGCAGTGCAGAACGGCTAGAGTACTATTTGAAAGCAACGTTCTCGGACTACTGCGATAAATAAAATGATGACGGAACTGGCTTAGGCAGCTTAGCCCTCAGCTATCTAGTTTCGTGGGATGTGAAGTTTGAAATTTCGAACAGCGCCAAGAATGGAGGGAAGGGAAGAGAATGAACGTTGACCAGGGTCAGCGAGGAAGAGACCAGTCAGTTACGTTACGGCAGCAAGCTGAGGGACCACGTAAGCAGCCACGAGGGGGACGTGTGAGGTACGGACAAATGCAGCTTATGCTCGTCATGTCCTCCTGACTCGTGGTCAGCCACATGGAAGTGGCATGGATTACGTTCTTCTGGAAGAAATGCTTGTGTGTGTGGACTATGGAGCCGGGAAGGGACTGGCTGGACTTGCAGCATTGTGGAGGTACAGTGAGGTAAAAACGGAAACGGAGGGGTTGTGAACGAGAGAGGTACGGTTTTGAAGGCATAAATAGAGGGTAATAGCGGTACATTACGGTGTGTTCAGCGACAAGCACCTCAGGACAGCATGGCTGTTACAATGTTAGCATGACAGTTAGCTTCACGCAACGTAACGGCGATGACGAAATGGACGGCATGGATGAACTCGTTGTCTCGAGCGTGATGTAACGAGCGCCCTCGACATTCTCGAAGTCGTGTTTCCTGCGCTGGACGAAGCCGCAGTCAGTTGCCAAAATGCAGTTCGAGGAGAAATGTATTCCAGACCTAGGACGAAATTGAGCAACATCTCTGATAGTCACAATTACCGAGGTTACTAATAGCGGAGTAATCCTTCATATTCGAGCCGCTTTTACCAGCCAACCAATGAAAGCCGTTGAGCTGGGCAACTAATTTCAGTGACTGAAATTAACGAACGAGATTCTCTGATCGTTTGATTGGGAAAGCCACGTCACTTGGCGGTGAGCGCGTGTGTGTGGTTTGAAGCAGGCTGATCCAACTGAAATGCCAGAATGGCTTATCCGTGTCATGAGCCGTTCTGGCAAACTGCGCTAAGTTCGTCTGCTCAATACCTTACTCAACCGTTTGGAAAGAGTATTCCAGCTCTTTGTATCGCATAAGTAATGCAGAGTCACTTTCTTCCCAATTTGTCGGAGTATCACTACTCTGTTCTTCGAGGACAGGACTTCCACCTTGACGGGAAGGCTAATTAGCTATTTATCCATGAGTTTTGGAATCTTTGTGCCTGTTACTATCAGGTCTGTTAGCTATTTATTGACATCCATCACGATCAGAAAAATAGAACGACTTCCTGATCGCGTCGTAGGATAACGGTGGCGTGACGCTGACTCGAAGCACCTACTTCTGTTGTTTAGCCCGCGAATCAGCGGAAACGGCGATTGACGCTCTGGGCTAGTGAAAGCGCCATGGCGACACAAATGTCCAGGTTCTCATACCGTTTAAGTATGAAAAGCACAACACGGCCTCCGTCATTTACGAGCAGAAGCGAAAGTTTACGCTTAGCGAAATTTGGGGTAACCTCCACATGGAAGCCAGATGTAACCATCAAGTCAGTGGTAACCGTAACGAAACAAACACAACTTTCTGCCAGTAACAATTTACCGAGCCGTCTGACTCGGGGGGTAATCTCTTCTATAGCCCCAGCATCATTGTCATCAGCAGCGTGTAACCCCCGAGACTTCGGATGCTATGTCGGACACAGAAAAGCTTGTCGGAGATTTCTTAAAGCCACTCTACGAATTCCGGGTGCTGCGATCGGCAGTGGGGCGGGTCTGGTGGATGAGGCGGAGACGAGAGGAGAGGGGGAAGCAGGAGGCGGAGGATCGGGGGAAGCAGCGCGCGGGGAATCGGGGGAAGCGACTGAAGCAGGGAAGGCAAGCGGAGAGGAGTCTGGGAATGGTGAGGAGCGGAGAGCGAAAAGTGGCGGAGATTTGCCAACGGATGCTATGAGCACTCGCGGGAGTTCTGGGAGATCGAGCGAGGGAAGAAGGGTACGGAGCGAAACGGGCTTGGACGAGAGAATGCAGAATGCGGACGGCGAGACGGAAATGAAACGCGAAGAGAGAGCGCTCGCGAGATTCGCCAAGGGAGTTCGCGCGTTTGTTACCAGCAATTTTCTCCTCGTTGGTGAGTAGAACGTTCTGGAAGCCAGCTGTACTCACGTATGTCTCATCCGTCTCCTCCCTCCCTCTTGCTCTTTCGCCTGTGAGCAATGCATATGGTGTGACTCTTGAGGTTGGGCTTGAAGTAATGTCTCTGCAGTGAGTGTGTACGGCCCTCTTTCAGGCTATCAACGCGCCTATAAACTCTTCCTTCCTCTCCTACCCCTTCCCAGCCCACCTTTCCCCACTTTCTCCCCGTTTCCTCCCCTTTCCTCTTCCCCTTTTTCCTGCTTTCCCACTTCTCCTCCCCCTTTCGCTTCTCTTTCCTCCAGCCAGTCAGCCATCTGCACGGGAAGGGAATTGCAGGGGGATCGCACTGACTGTGCGGCACCGTGCATGCTCCCATCCCATGTGTTGAGCTGACTGCTTAGTGGACTCGCTTTCCCCACGCCTAATCAGCATTAATTAATCACCATTGGTTGTGCTCCCTCTGCACCCTCTGCACCCTCCCTCACTGCAGCATTCAGCACGGGAATCGCACTGGCTGTGCTGCACCCGGCTCCCAGACGTAGGCCGTTTCTTTGACTCACCTTCTCAAGCTCACCCTTCCTTTTTCTCTCCTCCCACGTGCCATCCTGCTGCCCACATGCCATCCTGCTGCCCCTCCGCCCTCCTTTGCTGCAGCCATCAGCACGGGAATCGCACTGGCAGTGATGCACCCTGCGCCAGGCATTTACGCCCAGTCAAAGATCGGCCTTGCGCGCTACTGCACCTTTGGCATCTTTTTTGTGTCTGGTGGGTATGTTTTGATGATTGGGGTTTAGGGTGGAGGTGGGGAGCAAAGCAGATTCGTAGCCGTTTAAGACAAGGTTGACACCTTTCGTGCCTGCCCAGTCATTCCACGTCACGTCACCTCACATGCCAAGTCATCTCACATGCCACGTCATCTCACATGCCACGTCACCTCCCATGCCACACGCACACCAGGCATAGCGTTGGACCTAGACGAGCTCCGACGGGCAGCTGGCTCGTGCCATCTATGGCTCGGTCGCACCTGTTCCTCATCACGCCTGTTCCTCTGCTTACTCCCATGGCACACACACACACACACACACACACACACACACTCACTCACACACACACACACACACACACTCTCTCACACACACACACACCCCACACGCACACCAGGCATAGCGTTGGACCTAGACGAGCTCAGACGGGCAGCCGGCTCGTGGCCTGCCTTCCTCTACGGCTCGGTGCGTTCCCCCTCTCTGAGCCGCCTATGGGGGGCCTATGGGCCTATGGCATGTTTTTTAAGCGCCTCAGAAGGACCAGCCGGCTTGTGGCCCGCCTTCCTCTATGGCTCGGTGAGTCCCCCCTCTTTAAGCCGCCTATGGGCAGCCTATGGGCCGCTTATGTCATGTTATTTAAGCGCCTCTAAAGGACCAGCCGGCTCGTGGCCCGCCTTCCTCTATGGCTTGGTGCGTTGCGTTCCCCCTTTCTGAGCCGCCTATGGGCAGCCTATGGGCCACTTATGTCATGTTTTTTAGGCGCCTCAAAAAGATCAGCCGGCTCGTGGCCCGCCTTCCTCTACGGTTCGGTGCGTCTCCTACCCTGCGGCTTTGTTTGTTCTCTCTGAGCCGCCTATGAGCCGGATATGCCATGTTCTTGACGCGCCTCGAAACGACCAGCCAGCGCCTACAAAGGACCAGCTGGCTCATGGCCCGCCTTCCTCTACAGCTCGGTGCGTCCCCTCCGGCTTTGTTTGTTTGTTCCCTCTGAGCCACCTATGAGCCGGATATGATCCGCATCCGCCTACGAGCCGGATATGCCATGCTCTTGAGGAGCCCAGAAAGGACCAGCCGGATCGTGGCCCGCCTTCCTCTACGGCTCGGTGCATCCTCCCTCTCTCTCAGCCGCCTATGTGCCAGCCGCCTATGAGCTGTCACGCCCTTTGTTTCATCACGTCCCACCCTATCGTTGTCTTGTCTCCGCACCTCATCCATAGCATCTCTCTTGCCTCGCTTCGCCTCGCCATGCCCCTTCCGGGGCTTGCATTTCCGTTGCAGGTAAGTTTTTCAGAATTCTCAAAAATTATCTGCAGCGTTTTACAACTCTGTTGGCAGCACTACACACACGCCTGCATTCCACCCCCCCCACACCTCCCCTCTCAACCTTCCCGCTTTTCCTCTGGCTTCATGCATTCCCCTCCCTCCTGCTATCCACGCTCGCAATAACGCCCCTCATGGCTCTACTCGTGCTGCTCCTGCCTCTGCTGCTGCCCTGCCTCTACCTCCACACACCCTTGTTCTCACCCTCTATCCCGCATCCCCTATCTCTTCCGACCCATTCCCCCTCCCCTGTCCTCCCTCCAGCTATCCACGCTCGCCATAACGCCTCTCATGGCTCTTCTTGTGCTGCGACTGCCGCTGCTGCCGCGAGAGCTACCTACAGGTGTGCAGTGCGGTTCCACTCGGTGAGCATGCCTTCGTTCGTTCGTTCGTTCCGCCTTCACCCTCTCTCATTTCTGCTGCATTTCTGCCACCAACCAACCAACACAACACAGCATCCACCCCCCTCCCCACCTTGCGCTCTCCCTCGTTGCTCTTCTCTCCCCATCCACCTTGTTTTTAGTCCCCACAAGCGCCGCTTTCTTCTCCTGTGTCAACACTGCCACCAATCAACACAGCAGCATCCCCACCCCGACCGCCCCTGCCCTTCCCTGCTCTCCCTGTTTGCTTGTCGCTCCCCAATCACCTCGTGACTCCTCATCCCCACAGGTCTCGCGCTCTTCTGCTGCATGCCTGCAACCATCACCGCAGGCATCTCCCTTGCACGGGTAGGTAGACAACTTGGCCTTCACGTGTTCAAGGAATAGCCCCCTTCTCCCTCTATCTGTCGCAGGGTGTATTTACGAATCCTCTGAAACACCCTGGCCCCCTCTCTCTCCGCCGGTTCCTCCCTCCCTCGTCCCCTCCCTCCCTCCCTCCGTCCCTCCCTCCCTCCCTTCCTCCCTACAAAGAATTAGCTCTATGATTGGATGGCCAAAACCCACTCTCTTCCCTCTCACTCTTGCCTCCCTCTCGCCTTTCTATTCCTCTCTCCATCTTCCCTGTTTGCCCGCCATCTCTCCCACCAGGCAGCGCATGTCAACACAGCACTGGCGCGGCGCCCCACCTCACTGGTCACAGCCAGTCTCGCGTTCCGTCTCTCTCTCCTTCCATCTCGCCCTCTTTCCCACCAGGCAGCGCATGCCAACACAGCATTGCTGCTCAGCCTCACTGTCGTCACCAACATTCTCTCCTTCCATCCCTTTGTTTTTCAGGTGCCTTTGACGCCCCTGCCGTCCCCCTCGCCCCCCTCCCGTGCTCCCACCAGGCAGCACATGCCAACACAGCACTGGCTCTCGGCCTAACTGTCGTCACCAACACAGTTGGCATACTCACTGTAAGCTCTCTCCCACTATAAGCCCCCCTGTTCAACACCTTCGTGTTGTACCCAGCCAGCCATATAATCCCACAGATGTCATTCCCCGGAAATGACTTGTAAGTTGACTCAACAGTCTTACAACACCACTACCCCAGCTTCCCCCCCTTCTCCCTCTTTCCTCCACCCCTGTGTCATCCTTCAGATGCCTCTACTCCTCTCAAGGCTCATTCCGGCCAGTGGGGGCGTGGCAGTACCAGCAGGGCCATTGTTACGCAGGTAGTTGTGCCGTGCCTTACCTACAACTCCCCAGCCCCCTCTTCCTTCTCAATTCCCCCCCCCCCCCCCCCCCTCCTCTTCCCCTCCGCCCGGTCTCTTTCTCAGATGCCTCTGCTCCTCTCAAGGCTCGTCCCAGCCAGTGGGGGCGTGTCGGTACCAGCAGGGCCGCTGTTACGTGGGCTGGTTACCACTTTGCTCGTTCCTCTCTTCATTGGCATGGTATGACGTGGTGTGGTGTGGTGTGGTGCAGTGCGGTGTGGGTATGGTATGATATGGTACAGTGTAACGTGGTGTTGTGTGATATGGTGTGGTGTGGTAAAGTATGGTACGGTGTGGTGTGTGCTTCGTCGCATCACTATCGCTGAGTCTAGTACCACATTAGTAGGATTTGTATAACAAATGCCCTCCTTTTTGGCGTTCTGGTTTTAGGTCTTTTCTTTTGCCACCTTAAAGCTCGCTACATCTCATCCCTCCCCTCCCTCCCTCCTGTCATCTCACAATACTGGGGTCATCCCTCTCCTTCATAACCTGAAGGATCTGGGCAGCTCGTGAAAACTCTCAGAAGAAAAGTTTTGAGATGTCTCAAAACTTGAAAACTCTCAGAAGACAAGGCAAGCCTTTCCTCACCCCTTCTTCTTTCCCTTCATGCAATCCCCTTTATCTGTCCTTTTCAACGCGGCTATCCTCTTGCAACGGGGCCACCATTAATACCTTCGTGACCAAATGACTTCAGGCAGTGCGACGAAGCATCCCAGGTGCATACCACAACCGCTAAACTAATTCTGCATCCGTAGCCTCCTCTGCTACCTGCCTGGATTACGCAACCTTGCTGAAAGAGCCTTCGTAGAAAGCATCTATCGAATTGCATGCTCTGTCCTTTCACTGGTAAACATGGGCTCCTCCCTCTCTCCCCTCTCTTCCCTCTCTGACCCTGATCCAATCAGCTGTTGCCACGTGGGCTGATCAGCGCAAGCAGCAACTCTCAATGGCCAACAATGCCATGCTCTCATTTGTGCGTTCCTCTTACCCCCCATGAACGTGCTTCTGCTTCCAAACTGATATTCGTCCTTTTTTCATTCCCTTTTGTTGTCAGACATCTCTTGCTCTTCCAGCTCTCAGCCTCCCATCCACACAAAAAGACACAGCCTCTCTCCCATCTATCGGTGTGAAAAGCACACCAATATCTGAAACATGCAAGCAATTTACCACCACCACAAATGATTTATTCTCCCTATGTTCCAGCACTTATTCCTGTATGTCTGCTCTCCTGTTGCCAGCATGTTCTGTCCACTTGATGTTATTTCTCAAAGTAAGACATAAGCTTTGTCTGTTCAATAGGTTTGCTCCGTCTGTTCAGAATACGTGAGTATGTTCCCCCCTGGTCCCTTTCAGGTACCATGGATGAAAGTAGGTTCTGATGCATGTCAAAACTTGTGCATCTATGTGTCCTTGTCCCCTCCAGGTACCATGGATGCAAGTCAGTTCCGCCCGGGCGGCGATTCTTCGTCTCGACATGACACAACTGCTACCCATTGCTGCCGCTGGCATGTATGTCAACTCCACATCATTGTTTGCCATGGTCTGTGTGTGTCATCAGTCCTAGCACATCCCACATCCCACCCATGCAACATGCACATATACCCATTGCTGCTGCTTCTGGCACTGGCATGTATGTCCACTCCACATCGTTTGCCTTTGGTGTTCTAATTGCCCCTTGTACGAATCACCCCTCCTTTTCCATTTCAAGAGGCTAATATTATGGACGAATCTGTGAGGTTTGAGATAACTCCTTCCTCTCGCCTCTCGATCCCTCCCGACCCTAACCAACCCCTCCCCATCCCTCCGATCCTTCCCAATCCCTACCAATCCCACTCTGATTTTCAATCAGAGCCGTCCATCTGTCCTTCCTGGCTTTCAACATGGGAGTGATGGCGGCCCTGAGGCGAATCACCCCTCCCCTTCCCCTTCAAGAGTCCATTATTGTGGACGGAAGTGTCAACCAACCAACTACTCTGAGTGGATTGAGATCGTTTTTTCCTACCGATCCCTCCTGATCTTTCACAATCCCTCTTAATTCCACCCAATCCCTCCCCTGACTTCAAATCAGAGCCGTCCATCTGTCCTCCCTGGCGCTCAACATGGGAGTGATGGCGGCCCTGAGGCGAATCACCCCTCCTCTTCCCCTTCAAGAGGCCAATGCTGTTGATAGAGCTGTCATCATCCTCTCCAGCCAGGTAACACTACATGCATAACATGTTAAAGCATATACATTAATGCCGTACAGTTTCTGGTGAGTTTTACCTTCCTGTCACCTGTTCTTTTGGATGCTATGTGGAAAATTTGAGTTTCCTGTCACAGAATTTTCTCCAATTTCCAAGTAATGGGAATTTCGAGCAGCTCTGTGTGTGACCTCCTGCCAACTCCCGTACCCTTGTGATGTTTGTCTTTCACCTTGTGGCAGAAAACCCTTCCAGTGGCTGCAACAGTGGTGGAGAAGATTGGAACGCTTATGGGCGAGCCGGCATTGGTCCTGCTGCCATGCATCCTCACCCATTTTCTCCAGGTCAGCTAAATGCTTAGCTTTCCATTTTGTGTGCAGCCATGCTTCTATCGTGTGCGCGGGTGTATTCAATCATTTCTGGCTTGTCTGCTTTTCGTGGCCGACACTGTGTTTGGTGCGTCGTATAACGTAAGTTGGTGCCCTTCGTTGTGGTTGCAGATATTTATTGACTCGCTACTAGTCAACAAATGGTTGAATGACGATAGGGATCGTGAGATAGCCAAGCGTGCTAAGAAAATTGTGTGAAACTGTTCAATTCCTGGGGAATGTCAATAATAGTTCCTGTTGTGCCTGCAAGTGCTCGTCACGATTTCATCAACCCATGCATGCTCTAACAATGAATCACAAGGTGTGGTTATTACGAAATAATTTTGAAGAGAGCTACAGTCTGCATAGGCAGCAGCTAATAGCGAGAATGATGCTTCGAATCATGAGTCATCACCACCCTGCTGACTTGGAGTGGCCTGTGGTACTGAATCCAATGGACAGCTGGATGGGGCAGTCAGCCAGAAGGCCACGTAAGTACAGGCAGAAGCGAATTGTGAAGGTTCGTGTTGCGTGTGGAGACACACGCCAACGCGGAACTCTGATTCCCTCCTGGTACAGTACAGTGCTGTACAGTACGGTGCAGGCTTGTGCACCTTGGTCCCCGGCGAGAACAACAGTGTGGAGAAACGAGGGAATGACGGACCGCCCTGGTTTCGGGTTTCCGATTCCTTTTGGCAGTGGTTTTGACACCGTCTTGCTTCGCGCTCGAGTCCGATACCTTCGGTCAGTTATTTACGCTATTGCCCCTTTTCGAGTCCAGAGATTAATACTGTGTTTATTTATCAGGTTAGCATAAATTGAATTGTCGCGTCAACTACGAGAAGCTCGGGACAAAAAATATTTACCCCTCATGGAGGGCATGCCATATGGGATGCATCAATCCTAAACACCATGAGACAAGGTGTTTAGGGTTGATGCCTCCCAAATGGCCAGCCATCCGAGAGGGGTTTATTTTTTCCACTGGCCACGAAACTAAAACCAGGTAAACTTCAGAATTTTCCTTGTCACAGGAAATTGGAAATGTCGAAATCAGCTGCCCCAAGGAATCGGACGCGAGCGGAGAAGCAAGACGGTATCAAAGCCACTGCTCAAAGGAATCGAAAACTTGAAAACAGGGCAATTCGTCATTTCCTCGTAGAGAAACAGAGGGCATCCCACCGACAGGCGCGATTCGCTAGCCCCTTCAGGCTCGGAAGGTGTCCGAACCTTCAGGTAGGGGGCCTGAGGACAAGCCTGTGCCGCTCTGCGAGCAGTAGTTTTCAGGCTAGGAAGAACCGAGCCATCCAGCCTGGCAAGGCTTGGGAAAATGCGATGCGCAACGCTGACGGGCATGTCACCCATTTCCGCGAAGGGCAGCCTTCCGCGGGAAGCTGGCGTGCAAGCCAGGGGGGAAGCCACTCGATTCTTCTCCTTGACCACGCGCCATCTTCCCAAGCAAGCGCAGAGATGTCTCGCGCCGTGCCGTGCCTTCCCAATCTCGCTGGCGCTTCCGCGGGCCTTAGTTGCGCCCCTCACCGTCTCCTCACCTTTACATAACCAGAGCCGAGCCAAAAATCCCCCCAAGTTCCAGGGTGCCCTTGGAATCTGAACCTGTAATTCTCCGCCGCTCTTCCCCTTCCTCCCACACTCCCCCAATCTTCCCCGCAAGAAGTGTAAATCTCTATCGGGGTAGGGCGCGTTGTATAAGAGCAGGCGCCCTCAGCATTCCTATTCGTCATCCATTAGTGGGGCTGATTTCCAAATTCTCCCGCTCATCAATTTTTTCTTTCCGAATTCGCTCCGACTTCTGCTGTGAGTCTTTCTTCCCTACCTGGTTTCTCGTCGAGGAGATTCTGTAAAAATGTCGAACCGCGTGCTTCTTCTGGCGGTGCTCATTGTGTCGGCTGCGCTTGTTTCGCGGCCTGCGCTGGCGCATCGTAGCTTCGGCGTCCTGACTCAGAACCCGCATCGCGAGGAGATGCGGCTTCTGACTGACGACAGCAGCACTGATAGTTCGTCGCACGACGACAGCAGCAGCGACAGCTCGTCACACGACGACAGCAGCAGCGACGGTTCGCACGACAACAGCAGTTTGGACGACTACCACGACGACAGTCATGACAGCAGTGACTCGTCGTCGTCGAATGACCACAGCAGCAGCGACGACAGCAGCCACGACGACAACAGCAGCGACGACAGCAGCAGCGACGACAGCAGCAGCGACGACAGCAGCAGCAGCAGCGACGACAGCAGCAGCAGCAGCGACGACAGCAGCAGCAGCGACGACAGCAGCAGCAGCAGCGACGACAGCAACAGCAGCGACGACAGCAACAGCAACAGCAGCGACGACAGCAGCAGCAGCGACAGCAGCCACGACGACAACCACTATAGCAGCAGCAGCGACGGCTCGAGCAGCGGCGGCGGCCTGTCGTACAACTACTACGCGTCCACGTGCCCCAAGGCGGCGGAGATTGTCGCGGCGCGCGTGTACCAGGCGTACAAGAACGACCCCGCCGTCCCCGCTCCGCTGCTGCGCCTGCACTTTCACGACTGCTTCGTCCAGGTTCGTGCGTCGCGGTTCGTGAATGTGTGACATTTTCACGAACAGCGAATATGAAGATTTTTTGTTTTGTTTTGTTTTTTTTTTTTTTTTGTACGTTTTGCGAGATGGCGGGAAGGAATGACATGTGAAACCGCCGCAACTTTCGCAAACCATTTGAAAATAATCATGTGTGTCGATGCGGGGTAACCCGCCAGTCACGAAACTCCTGCTACTGACTTTCGGTTGCTTCGTATCGCATTTGTTTTCGTTGTTATTCCTTTTCAGGGCTGCGACGCCTCCGTCGTCCTGGATTCGACGGACGACAACAAGGCGGAGAAGGACGCAAATCCCAACGCCACTCTCTCTAATCATGCCTTTCATGTTTTTCTCTTCTGTTTTTTCAGGGCTGTGACGCGTCGGTGCTCCTCGATTCGACGGAGGACAACAAGGCGGAGAAGGACGCGGATCCCAACGCCACTCTCGGCGCGTTCGACGTGGTCGACGACATTAAGGACCACCTCGAGTCGGAATGCCCTGGCGTCGTGTCTTGCGCCGACATTCTCGCTCTCGCCGCTCGCGAAGGCATTCATCTGGTACGCCCACGCAGATTCGAAAATAACAAAAATCCCTTCATTTCTTATTTTCTTTCCCCATCATCCCCCTTTTATTTTCTCTCTCAATGTAACCACCATGACTACTTTTTTTTTCGCTTTCACGTCTGTCGCAGGCCGGCGGTCCTTTCACGGAGGTGCCTCTGGGGCGTCGCGACGGGCTGACGTCATTCGCGCTCGCGGCGGAGACTTTCCTCCCGGGATCCACGCTCAACGTCTCTGGCCTCGTCCATAACTTCAACACAGTCGGCCTCGATATGACCGACGTTGTGACTCTTAGCGGGGCTCACACTATCGGGGAGGGCCGCTGCGTGAGCCTGAAGAATCGCCTGGAGCAGGACGACCCCACGATGGACCCCGAATTCGCGGCGTATGTGAAGCAGAAGTGCGGCACGAGCAACATTGACCCCAAGGCTATGATCTCAAACGACTATGCTTCGCCAAACAAATTCGACAACCAGGTAAGCAACACGATTCGCCTGACATCTCATCTCAACTCTCGCCTCTCTTTCCCTTTCCCCCCATCCTTCACCCGCCCCATTCCATTTCCTTGTATTCTTCGCTTCCCCCTTTCTCACCTCCTCAGCATTATACGAACCTTCTCACGCACACTTTCTTAGCCCCTTGGATACAAAATCGCACAATTTTCGTTCGCTTCTACGTCTCTCCGCCTCCGCAGTACTACAAGAACCTCCTGGCGCACAAGGGCCTGTTCACCACCGACCAATCGCTCATTTACGACGACAAGACGGAGCGCGCAGTAAAGGCATTCGCTCACGCCAAGAGCACGTGGTTCGACGCGTTCCCCAAGTCGCTCATGAAAATGGGCGTCATTTCGCCGCTCACCGGCACGCAGGGCGAGGTTCGCCTCAACTGCCACGTGCGCAACACCTACTAGTGGGCGCAAGAGGCGGTACCAGCGCGCAGCTTGTGGCGCATACTACGGCTGGGAAAATGGAGGAGTCTTGCAGGACGTTCTTGAGCAGCTGAAAATGAGGATCTTGATGGTCGTGGGTGATTCGATTTCGTAGTGGGATGCTAGAGCGTGAACTGCGGGGTCCTACAGCGTTTGGGAATTATGTAATTCTCTGAGATGGAAATAAAAGGTGGCTGCTATGTATGCTTTCTTTGGAGTGCATGTCCTTGACCTTGTGCTTATGGTTGCTACAGAGCAGAAAACACACACAATGGTTTGATCCAGCTGGAATTAGAGTGTGCATGAAGGAGCAGAATTTGCCATTGAGATGCCCGTTGATTTCCACCGAATTCGGAGTTTCCATCGATTCGGCGAACCGCGACCATGTTATTTGATCGACTCGCTATTGCGTCAGCGCGCCCCAAAAGCAAATTCTCCAAATTACAAAACAAGGTGCTGTACAATGTCACAGAAACACATTCCACTAGATGGTTGGTCTAGTGCCGAAGTGCTGTTGTCTTTGTGGTGTGGTCCTATCCCATCTCAGGCTACCTGGCAGTGCCTTTGGAGTGTCAACAGGAAAGCAGCTGATGCGACAACATGATTTTTTTTCAGAGATATCTTAGGGCCGAAACAATGTCATCACTACAGTAACAATGTCATCACTACAGAAACTTTGATGCATCTCAAAGTGCAGACTCGTGAGAAAAGGCAACAAAAGCAATCAGGTTGCAATAAGCACACCACATACGAAGGTACGAACTTCAGTCCACTTCGGCCATCTTTGAACTGCACCTGCTCGTTGATGTTGCCGACCTGATTCTATCAATCCGTTCATCCTCTGCCACCTCATCTGGGCTGTACACCCACTTGCGACGGTCCTGGCGAATGCGGGGAGTTGACTGTAGCAACGGATGGTACATACACAGACACCCACGCACACAAGGGGAAACACACAAGGGTGAACATTTGGCAGGCATTGCATGGGCAAGTACACAGGACATGTGTTGTGACCTCTAATCGAGCAGCTGACTTGGGTGTGGTATGTGTGAGACAGATACAACATATGCAGGGGATAATGAAAGATGGGCACGTATGAATGAAGAGAGCGAGAGAATGACAGCAAATTTGACATCATGCATTGCAACTGGACGAGAAGGGGGTAGACGGAGATAACAGAACTAGAAAGGTGTGAAGAACTTTAATGCCTGTTATGCAGTAGTTAGTGAGGCAAGGTAAGGGGATGGAGGGAGAAAGGGAGGAGAGGAGAGGAGCAGAGACTGGAATACCCTTTTAGGGCCCCAGTGGGCCAATGAGCTTCTTCCACGTGGAGGGTACATGTCCCACCCACTCACTGCAGAGCTGCTCTCTGAAGGCCGCTCCTTGCCCTCTGTGGGATGGAAGTAAGGGGGGAGCAGTGAGAGTGAGGGAGAGTTAGGGAAATGCAAGAGAGGGAAATGCGAGAGAACCCAACCACTCACTGTAGAACTGCTCTCTGAAGGCTGCTCCTTGCCCTCTGTGGGATGGAATTAAGGGGGGGAGCACTGAGAGTGAGAGCGAAAGGAACATGCAAGAGCGTAGAGATGGGAATGCTAGATAGAGAAATGCCAGAGAGGGGAATGCCAGCGAGGGGAATGCCAGAGATAGAAAAGGAAATGCAAGAGGGCGTGTGAAGGGGGAGCGGACGTCCAGTCAAGTTGCAACGGCACACTCACCTTTCACAACTGCCCTCATCCGAAGAGGTCTTCTCTCTTTCTGTGACATGCAGTAAAAGGAGGTAGGGAAGGGGCAGCAAGAGAGGGAGAGGGAAAGGGAGAGAGGAGTGGAAGGTGGGGACGGGAGGATGGATGGAGGGAGGCTAGAGAGTTAAGACACCAGCAGAAAAGCATGACGTCAACAACAGCTAAGCTGTGTGAAGGGAGCCCTTGTGACATGTTAGAACACATGATGCACAACGGAGCATTACTCACCTGTCTTGGCTTGCCACTTGCCCTTCTGCTCCTGCTCCATGTCATGCTGCTATCCACCTCCTCCTCCCCATCGTCTTCCTCCTCCTCCTCTTCCTCAAAATTCCCCCCTTCCAAATTCTCACCACCACAACCGCCACCAACACATGAGCTTTCCCAGTACCCCGCAGAAGCTGACATCCAATCAGGTTGCGACACATGGTCCGAACACGAAGCCGGGTTCCCTCGAAACGCCCTGGGTGCCCCGAGCATATTTCTCCCTCCAGGCCCCTCTGACACGCACTGGCTGATCCTCTTGATTTTCTGACTGGGCTTTTGCGGAACGAAATTGGAATGTTCTGCCAGTGGGTCTGGCGCTGGTGGGACACAGTCACTGATAATAGTCGGCTCACAGGCAGAGGATGGAACGGATGGAACGGATGGAATGGGACGGAGTTCCATAACGCCTCTGGGACTTGGTACTGATGATGGAATGCAGCCAGGGGACGGTCTCAACGTCTTTTGAGGTGGCTCACGACCAGGCACTGATGATGCAATGCGGTCAGAGGATGGACTTGTCAGTCTCTCCTTTCCTTCAGGCGCTGTCGATACATTGGAGAAGCCATGAGGCACATTAGTGAGGTTACCCGTTTCAGAAAGTGTTGCTTGGGGATTCGCCCTGTAGCCACTGCTTTCTCCAAGCACCCCTCTCTCCTGGACGAGATACGGGTCCTGCTGACTACAGCTGAACAGACTGCCAGAGCCATCCCAAGCCGCGAAATTGCTGGTCTCGTCTCTCATTCCGTTCCCTTTAGAATCATCATTTTCTTTCCCGTCCTCGGCGTCTTTGGAATCTGGAAAATCCTTATGAAGCAGCTGCGTCCAGTGTCTTTTTTCAGCCGACTCTAGATCCTCCTGTTGATGCGCATGATGGTTTTGATGCTCCAGTCTCCTTTGATGCCGCTGTTTCTTCTGATTCTCATGATGCTCAGAACGATTCAGCATCGCAGAGCATCCAGTATCTGAAAGAACAACGCTGCAGGGTCCCATCTGTACAGGGATGTCATCGACAGAGGCAGAGTTCGCAACTTGTTTCGTACTCCTTCCGCTTTCTCTGAGATCGTCTCCTCTCACTTCGTCTCCTCTCATTCCGCCTCCTCTCCTTCCGTCTGTTCTCATTCCATCTGTTCTCTTTTCTTCTCCTCTTTTACGACTCCAGAACCGCTGGCCGCTGAAAATTCCTCCACTGAAGCCCATACCGGTGCTGGTGCTGCTGCGCCTTCTGTTTCGCTGTGAGATGTTATTCCTCTGGTATCCGCCGGTGATGTTTTTTGCCTCAAACAGTCCATCCGGACCTTGCTCTGCTAGGGAGTCGGTGAGATCTCCAGCAGGACGCGACTTTTGCCAGGGTAACCACATGCTGAGGTTTTCGCCAAAAGCAACTCGTGCGACGTTGTGAGGAATGATAGACACGCAACGCAACGCGACGTTGTGATGGGCGCAGCACGACGACCTATGTTGTCTGCTATGCTGCCATCAATAGCAGACACGCGATGATGACAATAACCCTGCCGCTGTTCGTGGTCGTGCGTAACTGAGTCCAGAGGGGAAGCATCGTCACTTGAGGTTGCTACGGCCACACTCCTGCTCTAGTCACAGTTGATCGCGTATTATAAGAACTACGGCGAATTCTGAAAAATGGTATGGTCGTCTCTGGTCTGGACCCACCATTTACTTGCATCTGCTGTATATAATCGCGCTCTTATATTAGCGAGATAATCACGGTATTGGCAGCACTAAGCAGGAATTGTTTTTGGATTTGCACAATAATAGGCAGTACTGACGGAAGGTATGTGGGGTCTGTGGGGTATGTGGGGTCTGTGGGGTCTAAGTGCATTTGCCCTTTTATTACTCCATATCCCACCAGACCGCACCAGACTGATTCGTGTGGGAAGAAGGGAATGAAGGAAGAGGTGAAGAAAGGAAGAAGTGAAGAATTTGAACTGGAGAACTCGAGGAAGGGTGCGAAATTTGGTGGGAAACACAGCGGTTCTGACCGACCTGCGAGGATACGCGGTAGTGTGACCTACCCGCGCTTGGGTTTTGCTAACAATGGGCAATGACCTTCTTGAGTGCGTATAATTTATTGTTCACTATAAATAGTTGTAAGATGCTATTTTGTTAGAGCCTATGAAGCAGAACACTGAAAAAGAAAGCACCATGCATTCTAGCATCATTGGTTCTCGACCTCCAGAGCCAGATTATGCATCTTGGTCAGCACAGGCACCACTTCACCAACCAAACTGGGTCTTTTGCACCTCCTCATATCCGTGCACTTGGCTGCCAGATCAGCCACCTCCTTTGCCACATCAGCAGGCCATCCCCCAGCCCCCTCATCCAAAACTTCCTCAAGCTCCTTGTTCCCTTCCACCACACCAGTCACCACGCTCAGCGCTGACGTGGCATTGCATCCAGTCAGCAACTGCATGAGCACCACTCCCAGTGCATACACGTCAGAAGACGGGACCAGCTCCTCAGTTCTTGGATATTCCGGATCCAGAAAAACCACATCCTCCACTCTCGCCCTCCCAGTCCTCTGGTTCTGACTCAGAGCCGAGAAGCCAACGCGAGCCAGCTTGCTCACCAACCTGCGCCCAGCAAGATTTGAACCGGAGACCTCTCCCGGTGCTGCAGCCTTTGCCCCATTCTCCCTCTGAAACCTGGGCCACCACAAAGGGGCCCTTTGAGTCATACCAGCATCCCCCCTCTCTCCCGCCACCCCTTCATCGCAGCCGCTTCCATCCTTCCCCCGCCCGGCCTTCTCCTCACAGAACAGGACGATGTTTGCCGGCCGGAGGTCCCGATGCAGCACCGGGTGCGGCTGCTGCTGGTGCAGGAACAGCAGGGCGGCAGACACCTCATAAGCAATCCGCACCCGGACGAACCACGGGAGAGGTGGTAACCGTGCCACACGGTTACCATACGGCAGGTGATCGGCAAGAGAGACGTGAGGGATCCGGGGGTAAACCAGGCAGGGGGATTCGAGGGAGTAGCCGAGGAGGGGGATAATGTGGGGGTGGGAGAGGGAGGAGAGGGTTTCAGTCTCCTTGATCAGCTGTAGCATGGGCGTGGCCTTGCTGTGTTGGTCCAGCACCTCTAAAGTCACATCCTGTAGCGGAACACCTTCAGCAGGGTTGGGTGGTAACCGCATGGAGGCATCAACACGACCAGAGCAGCCTTCCAGGCCCCCAGGAAGGGCAGAGAGGATGTCGTCTCGAGAGAACACCACACAGGTGGGACGTGCAGGCGCTGCATTGGATTCCAGGGCAGCAACAGGTACAGCATTGACAGAAGCAGCAACAGGTACAGCATTGACAGAAGCAGCAGTGTCCCCATCCCTAGGAGCAGGAGGATCAGGCGAACAGACGGCCGGGGTGATGATGTTTCCATCCAGGCCAGAACCAGCAGCACCAGCAGTACCAGAAGAACCTCCAGCACCAGACGAGCCAACAGCGTCATCAGCAGCAGCAGCACCTCCGGCCTCGAGTGCACGGCTGCATGCCTGCAGCACAGCAATCATGCCATCCGCCACACTCGACACCGAGGAACCTTCCACGAACTTGCTGAGCACACTGGGTTTCACATCCAGTTGCTGCAAGTCCAACTCAAGTCCCTTCTTTAAGGCCTGCAGCTGACTTATCTCCCCTTCCAAATACACCTCCCCATCTTCCTTCCCTTCCTTCCCTCTCCACTGAAGCGCCTTCTCCCCCTTGAAACTCGCTTCTTTCTTCACCTGCCCTTGCACGTCGGGGAGGTTATACTCGAACCCAACTGCCCGGAAAACTTTGATGACAGTGCCCGACATGCTTCCAGGCAGATCGAAAGATTTTCGGCTGCCCTTTTCACACAGGCTCATGAGCTCTCTCTTCAGCTGATTGGCCGCTTTGGTGTTCGCATCCAGTTCACTGCCGTCAATCGAAAACAAAACTTTCTTCTGCCCGGCCTCTGCAGCTGGAGGTGCCTCAGGAGACTCCACAGCCTCAGGTGAAATCTCAGGTGCTGTTTTCTGATGCTGGATCTTTCCAGCGCCATCACTTCCCTTCAGCTTCAGTGATCCCTCCTCTCCTCCCTTCCCTCCTTCACTCCCCCCTCCTAGCGCCAAAACAAGCGCCAGCAATCCCTCCTGTGCCTTCCGCACTCCCTCACTCACTCCCTCACTCACTCCCACTGCCACCCCCCCTCCCTCCAGTGCCTCCTCCATGCCCCTCACTTCCCTCCTCCCCTCCTCATTCATCCTCTCTACAAGCGCCTTCGGCAACCTCTTTACTGCCTGTTTCCACACCGCCTTCATCCCGCCCTCTATAATCACACTCAGGTCGTGGAACTTAACTAAAAGCATCAGCGGAGAGGCGGACAACGAAGTTGCGAGGAAGATTCCTGGCGCCAGCTCATCGCTGACTGCGCCGCCCACCGCGTGCAGCCAGAGTAGGGCGGCAGGCTCGTCCGCTAGTGCCACGTCAGCAACCCGCGTAACCAGATTGAAGACACGGGAAATTGCAGCCTCAACAGGAGCAAAGCCCTGCATCTTCCCCCGAAGCTTCCTTGCAGCCTCCACCAGCTCACCCAGCTTCTTGGAAACTTCTGCAGCCAGCATCCCCACCTCACTCTCCCCTCCAGCTTTCAAGCACAACTCCTCATTCTCACCCTCTTCTCCCTCCTCCCCATCCTCCCACTCCTCCTCGTCCTCCTCCCCCTCCTCCACCTCCTCACCCACTACCTCCTCCTCCTCTGCCCGCGCCTCGGGAGTATCCCAATAGGAATCAGGCAAGGCTCGGGCCCAGGAAGGGGGGCGCAGCCAGTAAGGCCTCTGCTGCTCTCCGCTCGCTTCATTCCCGGCCCACCTCCCCGCCCGATCACCAGCAGCAGGAGCATCAGGAGAAACAGCAGGAGGAGCGGCGGCAGAGGTGGCGGCAGCAGCGGTGGTGGTAAGAGCAGTGAACGGCTCAGATGCGACGGTGGTAGCAGCAGCAAATGAATCTCGACCTTCCACCTCCGGCAGCAGCAGAAGCTTCCTCCCGCTGATGTTCCCCACGTGCCGAACCAGCCGATCCTCCAGCAGACGTTTGGCAGCAGCCATGGCGAGCATCGCCAGAGGCTCGGCAACAGGTTCGGCAGTGCCCGAACCTGCTGCGGTTAAAGACACGGACGAAGTGACTTGAACCGTGGATGACACCTGTCCTGTTGCAGATGTCACCTGGATGGCTGACGTGGAAGAGGATGACGCGGCAGTCAGGAGAGATGGGAGTGCTGGTGCTGGCGCTGATGATCCCCCTGCTGCGGGGGATGATGCTGATGTGGCAGAAAGGGATTGGGACGGAGGGTGAGGCATGGAGGCGAGCCATTGGTTCAGCAGCTGCATGCGGGAGAGCATCATAGGGGGGATTCTTCCAGGCGAATTCTCAGGTGATTTCTCAGGTGTTTTTCCAGGAGAATTCTTGGGAGAGCCTCCGCGCGCTGCTGCTGGCGCAAGCGCCAGCGCCGGCGGAATCAGATGCTCGGGGAGAGAAGGCATCAGCGACCACACGTTTCCTCCCCCTCCTCCTCCCCCATACCCTCCACCCCCATTCCCCCGATACCCGCTTTCCCCGCCGCTCCCCCCACCCCCTCCCCCAAACGCTCCCCCCGACCCAGAGCTTCCCCCCGAATACGCTCCTCCCCCTCCGCTTCCCGCTCCCCCTTCCCCGCCTCCCTGGTTTCCCCCGCCGCTCCCGCTCGACCCGCCGCCAGCCACCGCGGCCGCCGCCGCCACAGCAGCTCGCGCCTTCGCCTCTTCCTCCTCTTCCCTCGTCATAGGCCCCTCTCTTACGACCTTACACACCACCCACACGGGAAACCCGCTCCTCTTGTCTTCATACATCTCCAAATCCGATTTTAGAGTGTATTCATACATCTTCCACTTCTCCTTCTCCCCCGCCGGCCCCTCCCGCGTCCCGGGCAGCTTGAAACGAAACATCCGGCGCTCGGGCCGGAAAAGAAGAGTCCCTCCCATCCCCGCTCCCACCACTCCGGCCACTCCGCCCGCGCACACTCCCCCCGCACCCACAGAAGCGCCAAGGCTCGGCGCAAGATCCGCGAATGGCGTGGGCTGGCAGGATTCTTTCCAGCAGGGCGGCTTCGGATCGGACGGCGCCATATCCGCTTCTCTCCGCCTGCGCCGCTCGTTCGGCCGCCATTCCGGTCTAACGAAAAAGAACCCCGTCAAGCCCTTGCCGTCCGGGGAAACGTCTAATCCGGGAAGGTGCCATGGCCTGGGGAACTTAAGGAGCTCAATTTCGGGGATTAGCCCGTCGCAGTCCGCGACGCGTCTTAATCTCTGGACTAGGAGCCGGTCTAGACCCACGTCTTCTACCTCGCCGCGAACCTTCCGCGAAAGGTACTGAAAGACTTCCGCGTCGACGGGCGCGAAGCGGATTCCGCGCGGAATCGGCGCGCAGCTGAGCGCCACGTGGATCTGACTCACTGCTTGCGAGAACGCCTCCTGCTTCGCGGCGCGAACGAGCGACTCGATCCCCGCGCGCTCCGCGGAGAGTTGCGCGCGCTCGGCGGAGAGCTGCCCCTTATCCCCCGCGAGCTGGCGCGCGCGGGTTTCGAGCCCGCGCACGGTGCTCTCCAGCGCGCGCACGCGGTCCTCGAGTGCGGACTTGTCCGCAGAGAGCTGGCGCATGGCCGCCTGGTTCCGCGCAACCTCCTCTCTGAGCACGTCGCGCTCCATCACGACCTTGCGCATTTCCGCCTCTGTGCGCGACATGTTGAGTAGCAGCGCCTGCTCCACGCTCAGGCGGCTTCCGCCAATAAGGTGGTTTCCGCCGCCGCTGCCGAGGTGGGGGGAGTTTTGAGGCGCCTCGAACATTACGCCGGGAACCAGCGACGTGCAGTTCTGGCCGCCGCCGCCGTTGAAGCCCCCCCCGCCGTTTATGTTCGTGTTATTGTAGTTCCCGCTACTGCCGTTGAAATTGCTGCCCGTGAACGTGCCGGACACGTGGTTGACTACGGTCGAAACCGTGGTTGGCGGCGAGCCTCCCTGCCACGTGGTCGCTGGTGATAGGTCTTGGTGGTTGTCGTTATGCTGTTGCTGCTGACTCAGCACCTGTTGTTGCTGATTCAGCACCGATTGCTGCTGATGCTGATGCGGCTGCTGCTGCTTCTGAAGCTGCTGCTGCAGCATCTGAAGCTGATGCTGCTGCAGAAAATATTGGCGGGAAACTTGCTCGTCCCCGCAAGCCATAATATTTCCGCCGCCAACAAACTGAAGTCCGTTTTCCGTGCAATACCCTCCGCCTCCGCCGCCGCCGCCAACGCTGCTTCCATCAGGAGTGGTAATAGATCCGTCCGGGATGAAATCCAGACCGTCCGATGAGAGATCCGCGTCGCCTGTCAGGCAACCCGCCATTCCCGGCATCCCTGTCCCCATCATGGTCCCTCTTAAGGCCGCTTCGTCCGCGTCAAGAAAGGCGATCGCGCGATGGATATCGTCCGCCGGCGCGGCTACTCCGCGCAGTTCGGGAAGCGTGTCTATAAATCTCATATCGATGTCCTCCATATCGGGTACTGGAATCTCCGCATAATCAAATTTCATAGGAGCAGCCATGGCTGTGGAAATACCTGCCGATGCTTCTATTATTTCTTATCTGACTCACTTTGGTTCCTAACACCGAACCTAATTTCCGAATCTTCCAGAATATGCGATTCAGGCGTGCATTGCTTAGGCACGGCTGGATGGGTTGTAAGCAGCTTGGAGGGGAAGCGGTGGCTAACGCAGCGGTTACCTAGCGGCTATCAAGCAACAAGCTTGGGGAACAAGCAATGCGATGAGCTTTGTGGTCGAAGGGCCTGAACTAAACTGAAGGGCCACAAACAGGTCACGGCCTACGAGCCAAAGATACTCTGCTTCTGCTGCACCGTTGACGCGGGTGAAGTTTCCGGGTGACTAGAGCAGCCACACAACACGTGCTTAACATATTTCGAGATTCGACAGCACAGCATGGCTGCGTGATGCGAGGGAAGCGCAGCACAGCAAGCCATGAAACAACAGACGCTTGGAAGAGAAGCTCTTGGGTTCGTGTAGCCATGGATGCTTGCTTGGAACAGAAGCTCAGAAGGCAAGCTTGGAAGACAGGCTGGGAGGAGGGAACAAAGGGAATGTCAGCCAGTCATGCTCTATCAGTTGATTGGTGGAGAGGAGACTCGTGAATCGCGTCGCGTGGCTCCTGACTGGTCGGATCACACGTGCCGCAGGTTAGCTCACCCAGCCCAGTCGACTGGGTTGTTCTGGATTCGGGATTCTCGAGAAGAGGCACGGTCGAAAATAATCCCCCGAGGTCAGCTCTTAGCTTTCACCTTGATCATGCAGCAGCGGGTTTGGTTATGTCTGCTGAGGATATCTGGGATATGGCGAGAACTGAACAGTATATTTTCTTTCGTAAGCATGATTGGCATGGAAATACTTTTTGGGAAATCTGCCCGTTGAAAGCTGCTCCGCTTTTCGCAGAAGCTTGCTGTTGTCACGTGGTGGTACGCGGAACTGGAAGCCTCGATGTTTTCAAGTGCTGGGATCTGTCCTACAACAAGGGTACACCTTCTAGCAGCGAGAATAAAGCTTTATTTCTTGAAGGTGGGGTAACCAGGTTTCCAGTAAAGACAGCAGGAACATAAATGAGAAGATACAGTTACAACTGAGGATGTAAGACCCGCTGAGAGAGAGAACCAGTACATTATAATCAGATAACGGCCACGCGTATTTCAAGGAACATGCACAGCAAAATACATAACATATCTCCTGGATGACGGACTTCGTTTCTGACAATGGATTGCAACAGACAGAATCTAAGTACGGAATCTAGGGAACATAATCTTCATCATGTGCACCAAGTGCTGCAGAGTCCAACGAATTTGGCATGTGTCCTCTCACAGGTACAAGCACATTACTTAAATGCAATGGAATAAACAAACATATATGGTGTAACTAGGCTGGGCAGTGGGCTGGTCTGTATGGGGGCATGAAGCAGCATTCACTGTCATACCAGCTTTCAACCCTGCTTCCCAGATTCCAAATCCTCCTCTCCGGCCCTACCTGTTGCAAGTAGTCCTGCTCGCTCCTCTTCCCCTCCACTCACATTTCCATCTGATGCTCTAGGAGAAGGTTGGGCTGTCTTGACCATCCCAGTCTCCTTGCCTTCCTTGTCCTTCTTGCCCTTCTCCACAGCCCAGCTATAGAGCACCATTCCCACTACAGCCATGAGCATGCCCATCACATTCTTCATGGTGATCGGAGAGCTGAAAAGTATGAAGCCCAAAACGAGGACAAGGACTGTCTTCATGTGGCCCAGGACTTGGAACGACGTTGCTGAAAACTTTCCAATGCAGAGATACTGGCTGAGGTTGCAGACGACAGCAAGCAAGCAGGAGAGGATGATGAAAGCCTGCAGGGTTTCAGGGGAGGGAGCATGTGCAGAGAGTGTTGATTCAACAGACGAGAGAACAATGAACAAGATCACTTGCAGAAACTTTGATGCAGGAAAGGGTGATACAATTCTGGGTGGGCCATGTGAGAAAAAGGAGAGGATGGGAAAGGCAGAGCAACGGCGGTAAGTTGAACTCACCGTGCATCCGGCAGTAAGGGTGTATTCTATAATGTTCAGATTTGTAACGAAGTAGTCCACAAAGGGGCCAAGCACCACAAGAGATGCTGCTTGGATTGGTGCAGTTTGGCTGAGCAGGTCAAAGGACCCAATGTTGTACTTGGTTTGAAGGGACCCGATGAACTGGGAAAGGATCAACCAAAAGGGAGAAAATGAAGAAGAAAACGTGTAAGGCGTATTTTTAGACAACATAAGCACATGAGTTGCAATCATAACACAACCATTGCGAGTGAGATACGCACATGCGTTTTCTGTTCGTTTCAGATATTGAAAGCGGGCACACGGGTGGGGGGGGGGAATGGAATGGTGCTAACTTACAATCTGCTGCAGGGCAGTGCTGATGACAGCGACAAGAGCAGCGAGAAAACCCATAAGGTTCATGCTGACGTCAGTGACGGTACAGACCCCCACTCCCACCATCACAACGGCAACAGATAATTTTACTTCTCGAGAATAAGCCTTAGAGTGGAGCAACGCCTCAAAGAGACACACAGTTGGTATAATACTGAGCTTCGCAATCTGCTCAAGTGGTGAATGACACAGGGGTTGTGGTTGAGAAGGACGTGAAAGTAGAATTGGCAATCAACAGCTCAGAATATTCCTTCGTGAAGCAATTGCTTGCAGGAGGTTGATTCGAACTGACGACGCCAGTGTGTGGCCTGACCTGACCGAAGCTCGCCATTTGATTGGCAAATACTCTTCGCACCTGGTAGAAGCCAACGGTGTTGAGCATGAGGCTGAGGTTCATAGAAACAATGGAGAGATTCGCGACGATAGAGAACCAGGCGAGCTCCAAGAACGGCACGGTGGCTTTGCTTGAGATGTAGCCCACTGCAGCTGATGCCATGCCGACCAACGCCGTGACCACGAAATGGAAGCCCGTCAATGTGCATGCTGCATGGTAGTTGACACAAGAAGACGTTAAGACTACATAACTGATTGCCATGACATTGACACAGTGACAGACGGATTTGGCTTAAAGAATCCCGTAGTTTCATCTTCAGCGGACGCGATCAGTATAAATTAAGAATAGGCCGATACTCTCAGGTGATTACCTACACTAATAAATGGATTTACTTACCGAATTTAAAGCCATAACCCGACATGACTTGTTTGTTGACCATGATGATGCCGACTGAGCTGACCACATTCATAGTCCATGCTCCTACGGCCGAAACGGCTGCTGGATTGTTAACCATATTGGAAAACTACCTCTGTACAAAGGAATTTGACGAAATTTACGCTGCACGGCGAGGTGCTGCTTGATCAATGGGCTGAAACGTAACGCGACGTCGAAAAAAGCACTAACAGCCGGCAGCAACGAATCAAACTCCACTCAGTTACCGCCTAAACCTAATAGCCAGATCTGCACTAATCAGCCTAATCTTGCTTGTCGACGACAAGACCGGTGCTGTTACTCGGCGTCGCTATTGCTTTCAAGGAAATGCTTCAACTCAAGGTCCTAGATACCAAGGTCTTGGATATCCAGGCCTAAGAGCTGATGAACAACGCTTTCACCCTCGAGTTTCCCTGGGATCACAGAATTGCAAGCCTTCAAATTCGTCACACAAACGTTCTTTTCACCGACGCATGGAGAGTGGCGTGGCGTGAGTTCGTCAGAAAGCCGTCAATCAGCTCGGTTCTGTTCGGTCAAACGTTACGACCCGCTTTCAAGGTCCTCGCTTTTGGCGGTTGGCGTGGCGAACCATTGGGGAGCGAACTGCATTCACTGATATCAACAGCTCGTGGGGACCTCTCGAGACCTGTTGGAGAACGTCTGGCCAGGTTCGGCGACACACGGACGAGGGACAAATGGACGTTGGAGACTCGATACTGTATTAGCTCGACCGCAAACAAAGCAGCCATCTTTCAACAAATCATAATGAATCTCTATACTAGATAATCATGCATAATTTAATGTGCAGATGGCACACATCCCTGTAAGCTACGTGCTAGCTGAAAAGCGAAGGCATTTACGGAGTCATCTTTAGCCCTGCCTTCCAGCTTCAACATCATTGTTGCTAGATAGCAGGGCCGAATTTTCGCCATTCTCCATCCCCTCAGGCATTTTGGTTGGAAGAGAAGCAGACACCATAGGAGATCTCTGGAGCTTGTCCCTTGCTTCCTTCTCCTTCTTGCCCTTCTCGACAGCCCAGCTGTATATAACCATTCCCAACACAGCCATCAGCATACCCATCACGTTCTTCATTGTGATCGGAGAGCTGAACACGAGAAAGCCCATGGCGAGAACCAGCACAGTCTTCATGTGACCCAAGACCTGGAAGGACGTCGCTGAAAACTTTCCAATGCAGAGATATTGGCTGAGGTTGCAGAAGACTGCAAAGAAGCATGAGAGGCCGATGAAGATCTGCACAGAGAGGAAATGTTGAAAATGTCAAGCGAAGTAAAAAGCGCCATAGCAGAATCCTCCCGATACCACTGTATGGCCACACTGGATCGCGAGCATATTTCAGATCAGGTACAGCACCAGCAACGAATTTGTCCATAACTCACCGCAGAGCCCCATGTGAGTTGGTATTTCAGAATGGACTGCGAGGTAAGGAAGAAGTCAAGCACGGGGCCGAGCAGCAGGAGCAGCGCCGCCTGAATGGGAGCCGTCTGGCTGAGCAGGTCGAAGGAGCCGATGCTGTACTTGGTCTGCAGGGACCCGATGAACTGCAGAACGCGGGAGCGGGATGAAAGGATAAATATTATGCGGCGCATATAGGAGAGCACAGCATGAAATGCAGCTGGACTGCAGGGATCGAATGAACTGCATACGGGAAAGAGAGAGATAAGGCACGGGAGCTCCGTCGAGGTCTGTGGAGTGAAATAAGAAGAGGGACGAGAGGGAAGGCTGATGGACAATACGGACGGAAGAGAGAGGAACGGGAACGGACGGGAGGCGCAGGAGCGACTTGAACTCGAGGTTTTGAGGTCGCGGAAAAATGGCGGACATCAAGACGCGTTAAAGGGATTGTTGTCAGTCCTTTCACGACGAGGTCGAACGACATGTACGATCTGCTGGATTGGCGTGCTGATAACGGCGACTGCAGCGGCAAGCGAGGCAAAAGAACTGAAGCGGCAAAGAAGCCGAGAGGAGTGTAGCAGCGAGTGAGCCGAGAGAAGTGGAACGGCGAGGGAACCGAGAGAAGGGGGCGAATGGAGCGCACACGAGAACGAAGACACTCACGATCTGCTGGAGCGACGTGCTGACGACGGCGACAGCAGCGGCGAGGAAACCGAGAGAAAGGGGCAAAAGGAATGCACATGAGGCGAAGACACTCACGATTTGCTGGAGTGATGTGCTGACGACGGCGACAGCGGCTGCGAGGAAGCCAAAGGCGTTCATGTTGATGTCAGTGACGGTGCACACCCCCACGCCCACCATGACCACTGCCACGGAGAATTTGACCTCCCGGGAGTAAGACTTGGCATGGAGGAGCGCCTCGAAAAAGCAGACGACTGGAATAATGCTCAGCTTGGCAATCTGCGAGGAATGGGAGGAGGACGGGAAGAAATAGGTAAAAAGGCCAGCAGAGGGTGACGTAGGATTCACGCAGAATACCGAAGCCATGAACAGGATTTTCACACTTCGACAAGAGACTGTTAGCTTCCGTCCTCTACTGGGGAATGCGTGCGGTCATGCGAAAGGTTATAGACAAGGCCATGTCGCGATGCTGACAAACCTGGTAGAATCCGACGGTGTTGAGCATGAGGCTGAGATTCATGGAGACAATGGAGAGATTCGCAACAATGGAGAACCAGATCAGCTCCCACAGCGGGATCGTGTTCTTCGCTGTTCAGGTATCCCAGCGCAGCTGTAGCCATGCCGACCAGAGCCGTCACGCCGAAATGTAGACCCGTCAGTGTCGAAGCTGCACAGACCAAACGAACATAAAATCACACACAAGAAATATCAGTAATACTTCTGACAATCCTGTGTGAAGAAAACTGATAGTCGTCAGCTCAGTAGACACGTGTACTGCTTATCGATTGTTCTTGCACGTTGTAGCCCATAGCATCACCACACACAGCGATTCTACTGACTACGCTGGTCTATGAGCATCTAGTCCGTCCCCGACAAGTGGTTCTTGAGACATACCAAATCTGAAGCCATATCCTGACATGACTTGTTTATTGATCATGATAATCCCGACGGAGCTGACCACGTTCATGGTCCATGCTCCCACGGCCGAGATCGACGACGGATTATTCACCATCGTGATCCGTTTGAGTGAAACAGTCAGTTGTTATTCTACTGTCAACCAACACACGTTCCACTAAAAAAACAAGCCCGTATATAGCCTCGTCGCTGACTATTCCTCCTACATCAGCTGGTAAGCTACCTGCAGCAATCAGCAATGGCCTCAGGAGTTGTGAGTACAGTCTGAAGCGTCTGAAGCCTAATAAGTATCAGAAAAGTAAGATTTAGAGTGAGCTATCTGTGGTGATGGGCACGTAAGTGAAGCACCTCCGTGTCACAAAATGGGAGGAATGTGATGCGGTACAGTACTTTACAGAATGGTGCAGATTTTCTAAGAATTTCTGGGAGCTTGTGGTGGAGGGCCTGGTTTGGAATTTGGGTGGGGTGGTTTCGCGTCACGGGAAAGGCGAGGCGAGACGAGGCAGGGTACCCTTGCCGTACAACAAAAGTTCTGCAGAAAAGAAGGTCATGCTGCTCAGTACAAGTGAATTTAGCGTGTCAGGCGGGATGGGAATTAGGAGAGGAGGGAACGGGCTGCGTGGAAAATAGATGAAAATGGATGGCGTTTAGCGGGTCCCGCCTGCATCTGCTCTTCTTGAAAACGTGGTTTCAAACTTGTGACCGTTTGGCGGCTCGCACTGCGACGTGTGTATATTCCCGGTTTGAAACATCCGCTAACCCAACAAGTAAATGAAGAACACTAATACCTTTATTCATAGAAGCAATTCCTAACCGTAAATCTAGTGAGTGGCCAGCTTCTTTTGACCAGCCAGAAGGCCAGAACTGTAGCAGACGTGCTAGTACAATGCATAGTACATCCACCGCGTGGCTAGCAAGGAAACTAGGACGCTTACTAGCACCGGAATCATTGTAAGATTGAGGACTAGATGCGTGCCATAGTATCCAACAAGGGTAATGAGGCCGTCCCCCACCACTCGGGCGAAAGTCCCAGCCTCTGTCGACAGAAGGCCGCAATTGAACGTCCCTCTTGCAAGGCGTGGCGACATAATGCGTGACATTAGTGAAAGAGAAACCCCTGCAAAACGCCACACAATTTTCAGACAGCAATCCAGACAGGAGTGTGGGTGAGTAATGCGATAAAAAACCATTGTGAGGACTCCCATAACCCGCCCCTACAAAGCTGTGTGCACTGGAAGCAGCAAAGACGTAGATTGCCCGAAAAGCTGCACTATACTTATGCTACACTAATTACCAAGAAACAGCAGCGCACCTTCGAGCACGTTGCAGGAGACAAAGATGATGACAGCAGCAACAACGTATTGCTGTGTGGTGTACTTGATAATCGGTGCGAAACACATAACGGCTATCACCCCAATCGCGATTAGCATCTGTGTCCACACGATCACCAGCCTGCAGAAGAACAGAGAGAAAGAAAAGGGGGATGGAACAACAGATTTAGCTGAAGCAGCAGAATGCAGAGAGTGCAAATGACAGTCAGCAGGAACTCATAGTTACCATCACCTCCACTGCCATCAGCATTTGTGCTCACACAATCAATAGCCAGTAAAAAAGAGAGATGAGAAGCATCAAACCGCAGCCAGATAACATAATTTGGAAACCGCAGCCAGAAAGAGCTGCCAGAAAGAGCAAGACCAGAAATTGGGTGTGTGTGTGTGTGTGAGGGGTTGGGGGAGTGGATGAAGGGGGAGTGAATGACGTTAGGTATTGGAGGGGACAAACAGTATCACCACTTCATGCATAAAACGTGTACCAGCCTGCATGCGACGCGGACAAGCCAGCACGCCACGTCTACTGCTGACCATTCCTCGTAAATGTTGGCTATGTAGTTCCCAAACACAGAACGGATGGACAGGACCGCGAGACATGCACTAGCATACATCCCCCTTGTACCAGCCATCTTGCAGCATACACCATACGTGTGCTATTCTGCAGCATACATGCACTAGCATGCATGCATGATAAACCTACTACCGACCTGTCGTCGTAAATGTTGGTGATATAGTTTCCAACCACCGAGCTGATGGGTAGAACCGTGCGACATGCACTAGCCTGCCTCAAACTTGTTCCAGC